TCCTTTAACAAGTATGTGTTGTGCTCGAGGCAGTGTATTTTCATGTAACACCTAAAGACAGTTGTCATATAAACATTTGCCCCACGGGTTTGCTGTCATTACCCAAGTTACTGGGTTTGCTTCATGTACTTGGGAGTTTCGGTGATCGCACCAGGCCTGCCGGTTCACTGCAACAGCACCATCCAGTGCCCACATTCCTCTCCATAATCCATTTATTCTGAAAGAGGTGATGAGAAGTTTATGTCTAGAACTTAAATGCTTTGTTGAAGAATAGGATCAAGACCCAGGCACAGTGGCATTTTTCCACAGTTTCAGCCCCGTCTAGAGATAAAAAAGCTCCGTCCTCTTCTCTTTCTCCCACACACACACACATCTCCCTGCTGGCTCTTCTTCCACTGCTGGCTTTTGACCTAGATGTCCACTAGCAAACATAATTGTGCTTAGTTTAACTGGTTCCCAGGAAGATGAAAATCAACAGGCGTTTTATTTGCACGTGAATCATCACAGTGCATCCATGGCTTAAATAAAAGGTAACGGTTGACATTAATTTGTAGTCAGCCACCTTACTTCTTTCTCTCCTGCTTCCTAAAGGTTTGTACAGGACTTGTGCAGGAACTCTGGAGTTGGGGGGCTGGGGGGGACAGCACTGATGTTCCCTTCATGCCACATTTCTGTCCGCGGTTTAGTATGCACACAACTGTCAGTTTAAAGGGAGAGGAGTTTTTCCCTCACATCTTTTGTCCCATCCTTCCTGTTTGCTGCTAATTCATTTAGCACGCCTGTTTTATTGTCTCTCCTTGCCAACACAGTAGTAGTAGTAGTAGTAGTAGTAGTAGTAGAGTCATAACTACCTTTTTCAGGATACTGCCTCTGAAATCTCACTCCCTTTCATAACTCAAGAGTAGTCTTTTTTCTGCCAGCAGGCATAAAGCATCTGTCTTAAACTCGTGGCATCTAATTAGAATCATCTCTTTACTGGACTGCCTCCCTACTTGTGTGTTAGCACCTTGTAGGAATGCCTTCTGAGTGTTCTCTGTGATGGGACAGTCACTGGCATGTAGAAGGTACTTACTGTTGGGTGAACTGAGTGAACGGAGCCAGCCTGCCTGCCCGAGAAAGCAATATCTTACATTGTTTATCCAACTCAAAAAGCTCAGTCCAGGTATCAGCAGCATGGGCCTGAGTGGTGCTGAGTTAGTGAGTCAGAATAGCTTAATCCCAATGTTCCTTAAGATGCCAAATTTATAAATGCTTGACAAAATTTATTTTTATATTTATATCTACATGATTTATTTACATGTGAATCATCACAGTGCATCCATGGCTGAGATACAAGGTAAAGGTTGAAACTAATTTGTCTTTTCATATTAATTTTATTTTATAAATGAAGTTTGATCCTAGAAACTTTAGTTTATAATATAAAGTGTACACTCTCTTTTCCTATTGCAGAACATAACTGAACAGGAGCCATGCTTAGACAACAATACATATTTAAAGCATAGTTTTAAATACCTACTTTTTTAAGTCTACAGTACCCTTTAAGAGGAACAGTTGTCTATGGTTATGCTACTTATTCTAAAGAGTCTTTTCTAGAGTCTGCAATTATTACGAAGCTCACATTTTCCAGTATTTCACAATTACATCTGTCTTATTTAGCACATCCTAAAACGGTTATGTAGCTTTTTATAAAAAGCTAATTTTATCTTCTGCAGCCTGCCTTGACAGCGTACCTTTCTATTGATTGAAATTCTAAATCTGTGCTGAGGAATAGAATTTCAAATATACATTTGTTAACGAAGATAAGAGAACATCAAAATGTGTTTAACATAAACGTACTGAAGCATTCTAAACTTAACATTTGGTCAGCTGTTCCATCGGCCTGGCCCTGTCTATTGTGGTTTAAGAAGATTGTTTGTAGATGATGACTCAAAGCAGAGACCTTTATTTAGATGTCTTCACTCTCTCATCCTTTCCATTCCCAAGTGTCCAAATTCAGGGAACAGGGCGGGGTCAGACCTCACAGCCAACATGGAAGAGTCCTGTCTTTCCTAGTTTTTAATAATTACTTATACTTTTGTAACTGTATATTTCAGAAATGTAGCAGTGGGGCCTGAAGCTGTAACTGTACTGATATCCTCTGAAAAGCTTTAAAACTTTTGCTTTGGGGAATAAAACCAAAAAATAAAAATAAAAGATGAAATACAGAGATTTTTCTCAGTGTCGTGGAACAAAATAAAATTATCCTCTCTTACAATAAATGGCAGTTAGGGAAAGCAATTTCTCCTGTCATGGTTAAAAGCTAGGAACACAAAATCAGCATTTGAAATGATAACCCACAGTGTTTTAAATAAAGACACTAAAATGCATTGTACATTATCTGTTTCAAAGGATGATTGCATATGCTTGTTATTGAGTCCTGCAAAAAATACAGAATGTACTTGGCAGGTGGAACTATAAAAACCAGGGATGAAAAAAGACCTATTAGGTCGAATTTTAAAGTTTTCTTTTCTGAGGGGGCTCTATTTCTGGTTACTTAATTTAGTCTGCTCAGCCTTTTATGTATTTGTTCATAGCCACAGGCATGCAAAAGAAAATAAATCTTTGGTATTTGAAGCAATAATGAAGATTAAAGGTCCCTAAACCTCTGCAGTTTTATCTCATTCAATGGAAAAAGCATAGATTAAAAATTAAAGTTTCTTCCGAAGCCCATCCTTGATACTTCATAGCCTTGTATCCTGAGCAAGTCACTGAATTTTTCTGAGCTCGTTTCTTCACTTGTACAGCAACGTCAAATGCCTGCTTTATTTAAGTCACAGGACTGTGCTGAGGATGAGAGGAGTCAAAATAGGCTTCATGTAAAGTGTTTTACAAGTTCCAGGTAGGTCCTGCTATAATTCCCATTTTGCAGATTGGAGAAAGGCTGAGAGAGGCTAACAAACTTGTGGAAGGTCACCCAGCTAGTAAATGTGAGAGCTAATACTAAAGTCCTATGTCTAAATTACAGCATTTTCCAACATTGGCACTATTGATTGGGGGGAGGGGGGCGTGACTGATAATTTGTTCTTGGAGGTGAGGGATGCCCTGTGCATTAGTGGATGTGTAGCAGCATTCCTGTCTTCTATCCCCTAGATGCCAATAGCATCCCATAAGTTGTGACAATCAAAAATGTGTTCAGACCTTGCCACATGTCACCTGGCAGGCAAAATTACCCAACATTGAGAAGCACTGGTCTGTGTGATTCCAGAGCTAAAGTTCTTAACCACTTTTATGATGACACTAGTGCCCTAGTGCACATTAAAAGGAAATTAATTAGAAGAAATATTTTAATATCACTGTTCGTCCTTTCTTTATAATAGAAGTGTCAACCAAATTCATGATCGACAATGACAGACGAAACACATGCATGCGATTGGCACCAGCAAGAGCTTTATATGTATCACTCATGCGCCAGTCAACGTTTATTTTTGAATTGCCAGTGCGCATCATATGTACTGGCTGGTAGGTCGGTTGGTTGGATGGACAGATGGATGGTCGGTCACGTAGCCTTTTATGTATATAGGTTTATCAATGTCATTGTTATTCTGAGTAGTTCCTGATTAGAATACTTCATAACAGCAATTTTCAGAATTAAAAATGAAATAACTAGTTTCATTCCTCATTGGGCTGGCATTGTCTTCTTTTGTAAGGCCTTTGTAAACTTCTTGTAGGCACACCATCGACAGCAAGCCAGAAGTCGGACTCAACAGCCCCTAAATTCCCTTGCCCTGTAATTCTGTGATCATTCCCTAAGGTTCCCAGCTGGTCTCTCTTGAACAGCCCCTTCTCATCTGAAATGTTTATGGACTCCTAATATCAGTTATCATCTGAGAAGCCAGAGAGAGAAACACATGCATTTTCATAACTATTACCTCATTTAATTTTCACAATAAGCCATTGAGGTTTGTAACAGCTGTTCGTGTTTACATTTTGTTTAAGAATCTTAACCTTTCTTCTTTGCCTGCTCCTTCAACTTTGGTGTTCTCATTGCAGAACTTGATATAGAGACTCAGCAGGAAGTTGATATGGAAACTCAGCAGGTGCCTTTCTTACCAGCACTGCATGAAGAGGAACATCCTTCTGAATTACTCAACATAAAGCAGATGCTTTCTGCCCTGCATGATTCTTTTCCCTTCCACCTAACAAGCGTCATTAAATGCATGCCTCCTCTGGCTATGTTCGGGGACTTAAGAACCACTAAGAGTGGAGTGCTGTTACTTCTGTTGCTTACTCTTTCCCCCCAGAAAGGCCTAGGTTGACCTTCTCAACTGTCCCATACTTCCTTGTCTTTATCTCTAATCTACATCCCATCTCTGCCTGATATTGGCACAGTCCCCAATTTATTATCACCCCTGAACCAAAACTTTCTAAACAATTATGATTGACTTTATGATATTTGTTTCTGTGTTATTTAAAATGATTGTGAAATTAGATGCATTTGATCTGGGCCTTATTAAATAGTCAGAACACATCTTGTGCCTAGGCCTGTATGAATTAAAAAATTTTAAAACACTGAGTTTTAGGATTGATCGCTGCTGATGATTGAGTGTGGTTAAAAGCATTGGCATGACCTGAGGAGAAGCTGGTATAGTTCCCGAGAGTGACAAGGAGCTGGACTTGCCCAGGGATCTTTAGGACACAGAATTCTGCTTATGGGAAGTCTGAGCATCTATTTAAACCAATGGGAAAGAGACCTGGGTTACTTCACAGCAATGCAACTTTAGTGTCAATTAAAACTTTTATTTTTTTCTTTAAAGTGTATGCGGATCATTTAAATTACTCTATGATTCATTTTAGAAGGACTAATTGGCTCCTTCTGTAAAATGGTAATGTCTGGCCAAAGAATCTTTTTAGATCAACATGCGTCCTTATTGACCACACTTACCTGGTTCTGATTTGATGTGCAGCAGCCATTTCATCATGTTAGATAAGTAAAGCGCTGGGGGGTTTTCTTCCTTTTCCAGGTGGCCTTTTTGAAGATGTAACCATGGGAGCCGAAACCTTCCTCTGCACAGCCCGGAGCGCATGGGAGGCCGGCAGTCAGCCCAGGGAGCAGTGGTTACAGACAAGAGCCCGAGCCCTGCAGTGGAGTTTGAGTGTTACCTGCATATATTCTCTAAACTTCAACTCTGTGAAAGACCAAGGTGGTGAAGGAAGTCACCGTAGCAGGTTGAGTTAAGTGTAGAAGTTCAGTCCCTGTTTCCACAGAGAAGAACATTCAAATGTGTGCTGTGTCAGACCACCGGGAAGGCTGCGAGCTAGCGGAGACCCGTCTGTCCAGAGTGGAACCCAGAGGGACTTCGCTGCTGGAATTGTGTTAACTGCCATAAATCTTTGAAAATAAACTTTCAAAGAACTTCTCAGGTTCCTTTAAGACAATTTTTTCAAAACGAAAATATCGAATTTTGCATACCTTCTTTAGAGGAGATGCTCAATAAATAAATGTTTGTTGAATAAATGATTATCAAATTAAAGGTTTTCCCACTTATGCAAACCTGCCTGTATTCCCTTTGTTCTTTATTTCCTTTACCAAGTTATTGCAAATCAGTATATAGACCTCACTGGCATCCTGGTACAGAGTTGTCAAAACCCTCGTGTGCCCAAGCAGGTGGTGAAGAGGTCATTGAATGAGAATGATAGAGCGAGCACAGCCAGCTCCTGAGTTTACAGCAAAGGTTGGAGACTTGCCTATTCTCACGAAGTAGGAGCAAAGCCCGGACCAGAGCCAGCTCCTCCTTTCCCACTCCCCCTTCAGGACGGGCTCTGGGTCTGCAGCTATTCTTGCTGCTTATCGAGCCTCTTAGCCTTCATACCAACCCACAGACCACCGGTACCTTTTATTTGAAAACCCTGAGTTTTCTGTCCCCTAATTTCCTAACTTAACACAGGGGTCACTGGCACTGTGATTTGGTGAAACTTTCATGACTTCTTCTTCCTTGCAGTTTAACCAAAACATGTGTCCTGCCAGTAATCAGTGGTCTAGCACTCAAATCCATCACTGGTCGGCTAACATAGGAATAAAACTCATCAGTTTAATCTGATGGAGTAATTTTTTAAGCACAGTTTGAAACATTGAAGTTCTTAATAATGTATCCAAGACTCCTAGCCATAAAGGAGAATTTGTTTGGCTTCACTTAGGCTACTAAACTCCCCAAACCCCATGCTGACTTTTTATGCTTTAGATTGTTCTCTGTCCTCTGTTGGTAGAGAGCAAGATTTCTCAGCCTGGGCTCTAGGTACATTTTGGACTAGATAATTCTTTTATTTATTTTTTTTTAGTGTTGCTTTCTTTTTTTTAAAATTTATCTTTACTATTGAAAGTATTACAGATGTCCCCCGTTTTTCCCCCTTGACCTGCTCCCTCCCAGTCCCCATCCCTCCTCCCCGCCAGGCCTTCACTATTGTCTGTGTTCATGGGTTATGCATATCCTATTTAATAAAAGGCTAATATGCAAATTGACCAAACGACAGAACGTTATGTTGCTATGACATGCACTGACCACCGGGGGGCAGACGCTCAACACAGAAACTGCCCTCTGGTGGTCAGTGCACTCCCACAGTGGGAGTGCTGCTAGGCCAGAAGTTGGGCTCATGGCTGGTAAGTGCAGAAGTGGTGGCGGGAGCCTCTCCCACCTTCATGGCAGTGCTAAGGAGCAGTGAGCTGAGCAAGGAGCAGCAAGCAGGCAGGCAGTAAGGAGCAAGGAGTCCCGGACTGCAAGAGGGCACAGGCCAGCCTGAGGGACAAACGCCCCCCCACTCCAGTGCACAAATTTTGTGCACTAGGCCTCTAGTATGCATATAAGTTCATTGGTTAATGGGCCAGATAATTCTTTGTTGTGGGAGACTGTCCTGTGCTGTTGGGAAAAAATGTTTTTTGCCCTATACCCTCCTAGGTTCAATGGCTGGAGCTTACAACTCAAACTGATAAAAAGACAAATTAACAGAAAAAGAAAGTTTAATTACATACATCTGCACAGGAGTTTCAAAAGAAATGAGGCTCTAGGAAGTGACTAGAGGATTCAGGTTTATATACCATCATAGGCTAAACAAAGAAAAAGGAGGTTTGAGCTCCTAGGCAGGGAGAAGCAAGTCCTAGGAGGGTGAGAGGAGGAGATGTTGGTTACTGAGGGTTGTCTTGTAGTGCAGGTGAGGGTTTCTCAGATGATGAGAGTTGTCTCCAGAAGTAGCTCTCTTCCTGGTGCAGAGTGGTCTTTACAAATGGAAATTTCCTGTATAAATGTAAATATACTTTACAAAAGGGGAAATTCATACTTTGTTTTTTGGCTGTTAGGGGAGGTAAAAAGCTTTTCCTGCTTCTGCTGGTTCTCAGTTCTTTAGCTCAAAATAATGCTTATGCCAATTAATGCTTATGGCATATTTTGGGGTGACATTCGAGTCCCCTTCAGTGCATTGGAGGATGTTTAGCAGCAGCCCCCTCCACAAGTTGTGACAACAAAAAGTGTCTGCAAACATTGCCCTTCGTGGTGAAATCAAGCCAGTTGAGAACCACTGCTATAGCAGATATGTCTGAGAAATAAGATTTAGTGACTTGATGGGGTTCAGGGAAGGCTACGAGCTAGTGGAATTTCAATTTTTTAACATGACCTTTTCTCCTTTCCTTTTGATTCAAACTGGCCTCATCCCAGCACCCTGTCTCACCTACCTCCTCCCTTGCAGGACCACCTCCTTTATCAGTAAGCCTTCTTAGGAAGGAAGCCTCCGGTCTGTTTTCCTCAGAGACAGTTTCAGTCAAACTAGAGATAACATCTAGGCCTCAGTTAAAGTTACTTAAGAAGTGGTCAGTGTAAGAAGGGCATTCTGACCCTCCTTTGTTCTCCTGAAATAAGTCTCCCATGTGAAAGGTCTGCCCCCTGTACCAGGAGGTGGAAAGACATCCTCATCACCAGAGAGAGGGAATTCTGGACCAAAAACCCTGCCTAAACAAACCTTGTTGCTTTTTTTTTCTAATTTGCTATCCCAAGCACAAACCTTTGTCTTGTCAGTTCTTCACAAATATATTGTTTCTTTGTCTAAACGGTATAAAAGCTGCCTGGCTTTAGTTACTTCTTTGAGTCTCATATTTCTATGTGCTCCCATACATATACATTTAAATGTTTGTGGGTTTTTTTTTTCTTTTGTTAGTATCTTACATCATTTTAATTGTTGGGTGAGCCAAAGAGCCTAGTAGAGGGAAAAAATGTTTTCCTCCCCACCAATTTCCTGTAGTTGTGTATTGCCCATGGTGCAGCCATTACAAAATCTGAGACATTTTCTAGCATGTGGCCAGGTTTAAGTATACTATTGTTTTCACAAATGAATGCTGATGAATAATTTTTTGTGTGAATATTTTTTAAGAGTTCAGTTTGTGTTGATCTAATGTTGGAGACTGGAATAAATTAGATGAAGCAGAGTTCAGCCAGTGCATAAAATATAATGTTATTCTGAGACAGTTTTTCTCTCTCTAGAAAAGAAAGACAAAGACGTCATTGCCACACTAATATTTGCCTACACTTTAGATGGTGCAGGTGCTCGTGATTCAAAAGATAATCCTACCACTCAGCCCAACTGGAAGAATATTCGAATTTCCTAACCTTGTCTCTCTAAGTCAAGTAGAGTCTAATGCAGTTAGACCCCCTTAGCTATGTCTGGGGTCTTAGGAAGAACAAGCCAATGAGAGTTAAGTCCAGCTCCCTTTTTATTCTTTTCTTTTTTAAGTATTGATTTGATAGAGAGAAGGAGAGAGAGAGAGAAACATCGAGGAGAGAGAAACATCAACATTGATCTACTGCCTCCTGCAGACACCCCTACAGGGAACTGAGCCCACACTCAACCACTGAGCCACACTGGCCAGGCAGTCCAGCTGCTTTCTAATGGCACAGATGAAGTGGTTGTGAGAAGCTCTGAGGGAGGGTCAGGAGTAGGAGGAGCTCACATACACAGGACAGATTTCTGACTACAGAATGCAGTTACTGTGTATGAAATTGTATGTAACATGCACTTAGAATCTTGTCATGGTGACGTTCTCAAGCTCAGCAGGCCTTTATTGGTTCTAAGCCAGTCTCAGAGTGAGCTGTTAACATCTAGTATCTAGTCACTGGGGTAGAGAGGTTACATGAGGGTAACATGTCTGAACCCATGAGAGTCTACTTAATGGCCACAGGGAATGGGGAAAGAGGGGAAATGGAACCCTTCCTATTTTTTGTCTAAGTAAAGAGAAAATTGCTCTCGCTCCCTCTCCATCTCTTTGCCTTCTTTCACCAAGAGAGCAACGTGGAGACAGATATATCCAGCATTAAAAATATTTAAATTTAGTTAAACCATGTTAGGAGGGCTAGAGAGAATAAACAGGCAGTGCAATCAATGTTGGCCCTTGGAAGTCATTCTACATTAGCTTCCTGTGTTTTGTGAGTATAATTCCAGAATCTATTCAGTAACATTCCTAGATAATGGTACCACAGAATTTGGATATACCATTAGAGGCTATCAAGGATGAGAGGCATAGCAAAACACCACCAAATCCATTTTTTATATCTCTAAAAACGTAAATCCAATTAAATTAAATAAGTAGTTAGTTATTTATTAACTCACTATGTCACTTAAATAAGTGGTCCTGTGAACTTCTTCTCACTTAGTATAATTACAGTACATAGATCCAGTTGAAAACTTCTATTGTCTATTTATTTTGGCAAACCAATTCCTTAACCTGTGTTACTTAATGTGTATTTATGGAAGAACTACTACATGCCAGGGATAGTTAATCAACACTGCAGATAGAACCAATAAAACAAAGTGCCTTCCCACATGGAGCTTACATTCTCATGGGGAGGGCACAAACAGAAATAAGTATTTTATTATAAAATACTATGTTACATCATAATATAATTTATGAAAATAATAAGTACAATAAGAAAAAGCTGGGTAAAGGGAGGTGTGCTGTTTGAGATAAGAAGCCTAAGTTGAGCTTAAAGTAGATGTATAATCGTGGTACCATACATGGTCACAACATTTCAACTCCATCCAGAGTGACTAGGGAGATACATTACTAAATGCCAAACATTGAGTAGAAGCCACAATCTTACATCATTTTGCCAAAAGTAGCTTGACTAAACAAAGATACACCAGTATTAGCAAAGCTTGTTTGAGTCCATTAATTGCAGAAAACCTGACTAGAACCAGGCACTCAGATGTCATTGCCTTTCACTCACCACTTTGGTAATTAAGCCCCATCAGTAGCCCCTAGCGTGAAAAGTGCTGACAAGGTTAGATGGTTTTGCAGGATAAATGAAGCCAGCCTAGTTGTCTCGGAACATTTGTTCTCAGTCAGTATATAACAAAGATCAATTGGGACCCACTTTTCATTGTAATTCAGGAATGCAGGGATGACTACTACATCTTAGTCTGTACTTAGAAAATCATTAACATTTACCTTATACATCAGAGGGGCGGCTTCCACTAATTGCTTTCCTAAGAGTTCTACACATTCTTA